ATCATATCAATGATGACATCACACCATATCAATGATGACATCACATCATATCAATGATGACATCACACCATATCAATGATGACATCACATCATATCAATGATGACATCACACCATATCAATGATGACATCACATCATATCAATGATGACATCACACCATATCAATGATGACATCACACCATATCAATAATGACATCACACCATATCAATGACATTACACTATATCAATGATGACATCACACCATATCAATGATTACATCACATCATGTCAATGATGACATCACACCATGTCAATGATGACATCACACCATGTCAATGATGACATCACACCATATCAATGATGACATCACAACATGTCAATGATGACATCACAGTAAATCAATAATGACATATCCCATTTTACCAATAATGACATCACACTATAACAATGATGACATCACACTAAATCAATGATGACATCACACCATATCAATGACGACATCACACCTTATCAATGATGACATCACAGTAAATCAATGATGACATCACTATATCAATAATGACATATCCCATTTTACCAATAATGACATCACACTATAACAATGATGACATCACACTATATCAATGATGACATCACACTATCACTATTAAATGACATCATTATACTTATGGTAATACCATATTAACAATCAATTCTCTTCAAAATCTATTGTACATAAACAAGGATATTACACTGGGTTAAATGCAATACCTGCAAGTTTTATGAATACTGCATCTATGTGTTGATACTTTTGTTACGGCAGATGTGCAGCCAACATACAGAGAATTCTAGAAAGCACAGTTAAAAGATTACAAATTCACATTCATTGCCACATACAATAACACTTTGCTTTTTTTTGGAGTTTTTAAAAAAAATACATACTGCACTCTAACTTACTTTGTATAGTCTTAAAGATCGTATGGGCCTTGCTACCTATCAACCAAAATAAGAAAATTAACAATWACTCTACAAGTATTATTTGCTTTGGGTAAAAAAAATATTAATAATTTTATATTACAAACAGCAATACACCAGTAAGACTTACTTTGAAAACATTTATTTGTTCGACAATCTTTGTCTTTTTATCAGG